TTCCTTTCCTTTCCTTTCCTTTCCTTTCCTTTCCTTTCCTTTCCTTTTCTTTTCTTTTCTTTTCTTTTCTTTTCTTTTCTTTTCTTTTTGGCTAGGCAATAGGGTTAAGTGACTCTCCCAGGGTCACACAGCTAGTAAGTGTTATGTGCCTGAGGTCTGATTTGAACTCAGGTCCTCCTGACTTCAGGGCCAATGTTCTATCCACTGAGCCACCTAGCTGCCCCAAGGCTTTATTTTTCTTAACCGAAATAGAGCTTGCACTCATACAGAAGAGAGATCAGCCTTGCTCTGCCTGGCCCCAGATGATAGAATTAGAAAACGTGGACAGAAGAAAAAGGAAAATGGAGCTGGAGCCAGACTCAAAAGGCAGAAGGTTTTTATTGAGCACCTACTGTGTGCTAAATGCTGGTGTTACAAAGAAAAGCCGAAACAGTCCTTACCCTCCAGGTGCTCATAGTCTAATGACAAAAATAATATGCAAGCAATTGTGAGCTATAGAGGGTAAAAAAAAATGAGGATAATCTCAGGAGAATGGCATGAATGTTGTGGGTGACTGACAAAGGCGAGCATGCCTCCATTCCTCTTCCCCTAGTCCTCCCTTTTGTGTGCTGAAATCTCCCTTTTTCATTCTACCAATTCTCATTTTAATGAACCTGGGTCCCTTCCCTATCCTGGTCACTGATATGGTATCATCCTAAATTGTGTTACTCTTAATGACTTTGGAAGGATAATAGAAAATCCAGTCACCCTAGGGCGTGACAACTCAATAACTGTAGAGCATGACAACCCAATCACCATAGAGTATACTTTAAACAAAGAACATTCAGAAAAGTTGTCGAATGTATTTGTTTCTTCATCATCTTTAGAATGTGAATCATAATGAAAAAGGAACAGAGTGGTTTAGCGCCAAGACCAGGGTTTCTTAACCTTTTCTGTGTTATAGACCCATTGGGTGTTTGGTTAAACCTGTAAGGTTCTTCTCAGAATCGTGGGTTTTAATGCATAAAAATATAACACATAGGATTATACCATAAACCAACTCTAGTGAATTATAGTTATCAAAGAGTAGCTAGGTAGCACAATGGATAGAGTCGTGGGCCAAGAGTCAGCAAGATTCATCTTCTTGGCTTCAAATCTGGCCTCAGACACTTAATAGCTGTGTGACCCTGGGCAAATCACTTCACCTTGTTTGCCTCAGTTTCTTTATCTTTAAAATGAGCTGGAGAAAGAAATGGCAAACCACTCCAGTATCTCTGCCAATAAAACCCCAAATGGCGTCACAAAGAGTTGGACACAACTGAAGATGAGTCAATGACAATAACAAAAACCAGTTTTCAATATTAAAGCAAAAGAAGCTTATGGAGCCCAGGTCAAGAACCCCCACTGTAGTCAGATGCAGTCTTGCCAGTTGTTGCTTGGGTAACCTTGGGCAAATTCCTTTGTTCTCTCTCCCTCATTCTTCCCATCTGGGAAAGTGACAGATTGGACTAGATGGTCTAGAAGTGCTCCATCCAACAAATGGCAATGTTGATGGTCAAACACACTTTAGGTAAAGCACAAGTTGTAATCTGTCTAATGTAGATAAAGGAATATTCTGTCCTCCAGTATTCAAAGACTGTATCCTGACTTCCATCTATCATGATACTCATATAGTCAATGCCAAGAAGTAACCATTGACTGTATTTTGGGAACCTTTCAGGAATACTAAGATGAAGAATTTCCATTGCAATCACTCTCATGTTTGTGGATAGACAATTTTTGTCAAGGTTGAAGGAGCCAAGATGGTGGAGTAAGAAACCCAACTCCAAAACTCCCCCGAAATCTCGTTTGCAATGAACAGAGAAAACACCAAGCCAAATTCTGAGTGAGAAAGTTAAACACACAGACACACACACACACACACACAGACACACACACAACCACAAAATGAATCATTTTTCCAGTCCAGCGAAGCTTAGAAACACAGACAGAGACACTGATGTGATGGCTGTTTATATTATATTATTCTCCAGTTTATATTAAGAGATCATCAACAGGTTTTCTTGGGGAAAATCCTCTTATCACAGCTTATCAAAACCTGGTAAATGTTGCTTCAAAGAATGTGAGATATGGAAACAGATCCCCCCCTCACTTTTTTTTTTCTCTGAGAAAATTAAGAGTATAGAATGGAAGACTAGAAACAGGGCCTGACTTGAGTGATAAATTGGCCAGTTTGATGACATTTTTTTTTTCTGTTTTGGGCACTTCCTTTTCCATTAAGAAAAAAAAAAGTTATAAGAAAGAGTTTTCATCTATTGGGAAAGAAAAATGACAAATATATACATTTTACTAATTTTTTTTATATTTCCTACATTTTCCTTTATAACTCTTCCCTCATCCCCCTCCCCAAGAGCATCCCTTATAACAAAGAATACAACAAAAGAAAAATAAATGAATAAAATCAGAAAACAACATATAAAAAAGTCTGAAAGAATATGTGGCATTCTATGCCCATAGGGCTCTGCCTTGCAAAGAAATAGGGCAAACAACTTCTCTAGACTCTTCTTTGGGGCCAGATATTGGCAATTACAATTTTGTGTAGTATTGTTTTTAATTTAGCTTCTCTGTATTCGACCAATATAATTAAATAAGAGTTTTTCCATATGCAAATAATATAAAAAATTATACATGAATCCATAAATCTACTACTTACAACTTGCATTAAAAATTAAAAATAAAAAAAAACAACTTTGAAATATTGGTTTTCTACCTAACTTGGATGAGTAGTCTTCAAGAGATGTATTCCTTTTTCTGATCTATTTGAGAATATATTTATATGTACATGTATACACATACACACACACATGCATGTTTGTGTCCCAAGTCATTGTCTTCTGTAAATATCACAGTTTCATGAATTTTCCCTTAAAACATCTTCATTATAAAGGATCAATCTTATATATTAGAAAATGTAAAAAAAAAAAGAAAAGAAACGAAAATGTAGGTAATAGAAGAACATAGTGTAGAGCATATCCAACCATCTATCTGCCTTTCTCACCGTCTATCTGGCCTATTACTTCTGTCAAAATCTGGTATAGAGAGTGTGGGTTAAGGGTACAGAGCACCTGAGGCAATTGGAGAAGCTAGACTTGTTAGACGTACATGGAAAGGAGGAAAATTCATTTTGGTTCAGTTCACTTCAGTTCAGTAGATACTCTGTGCTACTTGTGTGTTAAGCCCTAGGCATAGAAAGACACAACAGCCCCTGCCCTCTAGGAGGTTACAGTCAGGAGTTGGGAATATGGATAATACAGTCAGTGAAATGTTTATTAAGATCCTCCTATGGAGGGTGGAGCCAAGATGGCAGGAATAATAGGAAGAAGTACAAAGAGATGCCTCCCCCTCAGTTCTTCCAAACAGGTCTGGAAAATGCACTGTACCCATTCGTGATCAGGACATCCAAGACAGTAATCACAGTGAGTCATTTTTCCAGAACAGGGAGACAGACAGAGAGGTGTGAGGAGTGTGGGGTCCCGCCAGCAGTGTCAGGTGGAGCATTCCATTACAGGGAGAGGCTGAGCACTAGAGAAAGAAGCAGTCATCCCAGATTCTTCATAGAGGGGCCTAAACTTACAGGTTAGGAACAGAACCATTCTGTCACTTATGACCCAGTCCAGGGTCACAGATCCAGGCTAGACTAAGGAGGAACCTGTGTCTGCCACTCCCAAACTGGGTCATGGTAGGGACTTATCACATTAAAATAATCAAATAATCATAATCATAATCATAAAAGCTTTCTGTTCTTTCTTGTGTGTTCAAGTTAGTAAATGCCATTTCTTTTCTAAAGGAACTCACTTTTGGGTCTTTATTGGACCTCATTGGTGTTTTTTTGTTTGTTTCTTTTTTACAATGGTGTTCTTATAGGGATTTGGGGAGTTACTCTGGGTGGTTTCAGGTTTCTTCTTCTCCCTATCTTGAAAATGCATCTTCCTCGTCTCTTTGAGCAGGCTTCTCTTGGTTTGAACGTAGTGATAGACTGAAGAGAAGTCCTACTGTGTGCATATATCACTGATGGATTCACTCTCCTCATTTAGCATCCCTCTGGTTGTCAAAGATGTTTGTTTTGTTTTTTAATTGGTCGCTAACAGTCCCCTCCATGTGCCTCAAATGTAGGACTTCTGTCTGTACCATAAGGGAAACTGAGTCACCATTTCTTTATGCAGCTTGCCAAAGGGCATGTGGCTCAGTAGCAATTATGGAATTAGTTTACACAGTGGACTCCATTTTCCAGTCCATGCTGCTGGCCCAGGAGAATACTTATGGCTCCATTTGTGACTGACAGGATGCAAGTTCTATCTCCCTTGTGCCGCTGCTTAATTTAATCATATAAGTGGAATGATTTTGATTTCCTTTTTGGCTGATTGTGACTCTCACCTCCCGTTTCTCTTTTCTTTCTTGTTCTTCGCCCCTCAGGGAGCCGCCATTCCCACGGCCTCAACTCCAGTCTCCACACCTGTCACAGGGCATAAGCGAATGGTCATCCCCAACCAGCCACCTCTAACAGCCACGAAGAAGTCCACCTTGAAGCCCCAGCCCGCAGGCCAGCCCTCGCCCATCCCTGTGGCTCCCATAGGAATGCTGAAGCCTCAGCCTCAGCCTCAGCCTCAGCCAGTTCCGGCCTCCTATACCACTGCATCCACACCATCCAGGCCCACGTTCAATGTCCACGTCAAGTCGGCCCAGCCTAGCTCTCACTACATGCCTGCTGGTTCACCTGGACAGTACTACAGCTCGGGACCGAGCCACGCCTACCCTCCTCAGGCACCTCCTGCTCCCGGGCCTGCTCATTATGCCCCACCACCGTCCCGAGGAGGCCCCGAATATGGCTATGCTCCACCACCTGGCCGTCAGCCAGAGCCTGCCTACGGCTATGCCCCCACTCAAGGCCGGTACCAGGATCCTTATTACTCAGGCTATGGGGGACGAAATGGTTCTGAACCAGGTTATGGCCCGCAAAATACCTGGAAACCCGAGCCAAGTTATGCTCCTTCTCCAGCTAGCACCCAGAATCCTGCTGGCATGTACCAACCCCCAGAGACCAAGAAGACGTACATCACTGATTCTGTTTTAGCTCCCCAAGCCCCAGCACCCCAGCAGCCTAAGGTAAGACACCGATTCATGTGACACTGCGGGGGAGTGATGGGGAAACAGTGGGTCTGGGTCATTCAGGGGCAAGGTAAGGGGATGTTTGTCAGGAGACACAAAGTCTGTCTCTTTGGAGACACAAAGACTCACACTGACTTTTTTTCCAGGGTGGTTCCTATAATGTGTCAAAGAGACTTCAATTTGGAGCTCGGTCCCAGAGGTGTTGGCTTAATGCAGCATCCGGTGACCTTAGGCCAGTCACGCAATACCTGGAGACCTAAGTTTCCTCACCAATGAAGTGAAAGGCTTACCCTTGGTACTCTCCACCTTCCCTTTGTCCTCTGACATTCTGTGATTCTAACCCCTACTGGGATGAAGAAACCAATTTATATCAATAAACATTTATCAATCTCCTATTGTATGCAAGGCATCGTACTCAGCACTGGGGATCACCGTGGCCAAAAAAATAATAATAATTATCCCTGTCCTCAAGGAGTGTACAGTCTACTCAGTGATGAAATAGGTTCTCCATGAAATAAATACAAAGTGATTTCAGACGTGAGAGAGTGGGGTGGGGGATCGCATAGGAGCGAGCATCATGCCATGCTTCACCAAAGACTGAAGAATGGGTGAAAGATGCCCTTCCTTCATTGTTCCACATTGACTGTGGCTCTCTCCAGTATGGCAGTGCACTCATTGCTGGCTTCCATTTAGAGATGAGGAAACCGGGGTCCATACAGGTTGGACCTTGCCCACAATTGCCTAGACAGCAGACAGCAGACAGCAAGCAAGGACGTGAGCACAGTGGTTCTGGTCCCAGTTCCTGAGCTCTCCTCCAGCCCCAAGGTACCGATTTCCTGGAGGAGGCAATCCACCCCGATGGATGGTCTTGCAAATTTTAGAGTCAGGAGAGGTGAATGAGCCTCCTGACGCCACCAGTGTCCCCAGCCTGTGAAACGGGGCCAGCTCTGTCCTTGGTTTGGCCCGTTTCCCCAACAGCAAAGTGAGAACTAATGAGACCCGACATCTCCTGCCCTGACAGTGATTTGGGGGCACAGACAGGGAGGTGGGCGGCGTCTGACCATCTGTAAGGCGCTTTGAGAAACTCAGCCCCCATGGCATAAATCAAAGTGCTTTCACAGCTTGGCCCTGGAAGAGGCCTGAGTTCCCAAGACCTGTTTTGGAAAAACCAGAGAGAGATTATTTTAGCTCTTCACAAAGATTAGTCCAATTAGCCCAGCTGGACAGCCTGGCCTTTGTTTCAGTCCGGCACCGAGTTTTGAATGGCCCCCTTTGACACACAAAGCCACCGATTGAAGGGAAATGGGATTCAGTGGCCATACACTCAGCTACCGCCACAGCACCCTCTCTCATAGAGCATTAAAGTGAGAGCTGGGCTTGGCGATCGCTAGTCACTGGGCACACACACGTACCCCTCCAGGTTGAGAGAGCCTCTGGGTTGGCCTGAATAGGGTGGATTTATGGGAGGGTCGCAGGGTTCTCCTGCCCCATGACAGTCCTTTCATAGCAGACAAGGTTGGATGGGGGCGGGGGTGTTTGGTGAGGGGTGAGTTGGTCCAAGGCCCGAGGCTCATGGAACCGTCCTAGTTTTCTTGGTGTTCCAAACAGAATCCAGTCCCATCCCAAGTATTCCCCGTCCTTCTGAGACAGGCAGTTCCCCCAACTGGGATTTGCATCTGGAGGTGAATTGGCCCTCATGAAGGGACCCTGAAGAAGGGTCGTATCTTGTGCTGGGGACAGCTACTTAGTGCCCCCATTCAGAGCAGGGAAGCTTGTGGCATCTCTCAGCTAACGAGTTACTAGAAAGAATGTGGCACCCTCCCCTTTCCCATTTGAATTAGTTTGTCATTCCCAATAATCTAGCATATAATTATAGAGACATCATTGGTTTCTCATGTCAGTTATCTATCCAGAACGTTTGTTTTTCAACAATGTGGCACATTCTTAGCATCGAGTTCAACTGCGTATTAGGATAATTAAAACCTGATTGCACAGTTTGTATGTGTGAGTGCTCACATGCGCATGTGTGCTGTTTTTTTTTTTTTCTTGAGATAGGTTCCAGGTTGACATTCAGCCATCTGCCTGTATTTTAGGAAAGGGGAGCAGAGGTCTCTGAAGCGACAAACATCTCCAGTGTGTGTATGTTATTTTCTTTCATACTAGAGCTCTGAGCCGAACACTGGTGTATTCAGCTGTCATTGTACAGACTCCATTATTGTTTGATATTGACTCAGCTTGGCCTGGTGCAATGATGACTGGTCCGGTGGGTGGCAAGTCCTCAGCTCCAGGGCCTTCTCTCCGCTCTTGTGTGGACTTGGCTTCTCGAGCTTGGGAAAGTATATAAACCTCTTTGTACCTCAGTTTTGACCTCAAGAAAGTGGGATGTCATTTCAGCTAATTAATTAATGATTGCAAAGTGCTTGGAAATTTCCCAGCGCTGTATAAATGCTGAGTGAAGACTATTCAGCTATGCCTTTAGCTTGTGTTTATTTTTAATTTTGTAGTCACTGATGGAAAACTTGCTCATTCACCCCTGTGTGAGAGAACAATTCTCGTCTATTGATTTGAAAAGTCCTGACTGTGGTCATATTGCATTTAACCCTTTAGCAAAGGAGATCAAATTGGAATTTTTTTTACATCCTTAGGAGAAATGAATTTACCTTTTTTGCATTTGATTTTGTTTTTTCCCAGATTCCACAAACAATCCAAATAGCCACTCCTATTGTATTCCAGCCATTTAAAAAGAATTTAAAACTGTAAAGCTTAGTGGTAATGGAGAACCAGATACCCCTGAGATTAGCCAGTTTATTCACTAATAACAGTGATCCCATGGCATGAACAATTCAGAAAAGGCATATGATACCATTCCTGTGCCTTCTGCAGAAAGTATGTTTACCTCAAGAAGAGACCACCAAAGATGATGTTGATACTAGAGTCATAGTCCCGGAATCTCAGGATGGGAAGGGACTTCACAGGCCTGGCAAGCAACACTCCATAGCACACCCAACAAGCTGCCATCCAGACTCCTCCCGGTGACTTCCAAGATGGAGGACGGGAGCCCATTGCCTCATAAGACACCTTAGGACAGTCCTGGGCTTCAGGGAGGATTCTGGATTTATTTCTGAACATATAAGTGCCACCTAATCCTCTGTCTCTGATGCCCATTTGGTTCTCTTCTTGCCCTCTAGGGCCAATAAGAATCTAATGTAATTTATTTTCCACATGACCACCCTTTAAATACTGAAGGCAGTTCATATGTCCCACTGTACCTCCTGAGTTGACTCTCCTCCAGGCTCAATGTCCCTGTTGTTGTTTTTTTTAACCAATCCTAATTTGGTATAACCTCAAGGCCCTTTGCTCATGTGGATGCCTTATTCTAGGGAATTTATAGCTTTTCAATGTTCATCTTAAATGTAGTACCCCAGGGGAAACTAATACTCATGTGTGGTCCAACCAAGGTACCACCATGGATCCATCACATTCTTATTCCTGGAATCTATGTCTGTCTTAATGCAACCTAAATTTAAATTAGCTTCCTTGACATTCAGGGGTAGCTAGGTATTGCACGAGGCCTGGAGTCAGGAAGACTTGAGTTCAAACCCAGCCTCAGACACTTACTAGCTATGTGATCATGGTTGTGTCACTTTACCCTGTTTGCCTCAGTTGCCTCAACTCTCAAATGAATTGGAGAAGAAAATGGCAAACCACTCCAGTGATTTTGCCAAGAAAACCCCAAATGGGGTCATGAAGAGTCAGACATGAGTGAAACGACTGAATGTTGACAACCTTGACATTCATAACTGCCACGTCCCATATTGAGCATACAGTCCATGCAGTTCCCGTATGGTTTTTTTTTGGTGAACGGCTTCCTAAGCATGTCTTTTCTGTCTTATTCATATGATACTGATTTTTTTTTTTACATGTAGTGCTATCAAATTCCATTTTTTTTAAAATTTGGACTTTGAAGACTTTTGAATTCTAGGTAGCCTGTCTTAAGAGGTCAAACTTTTTTTTTCCCTCCTTTTCTTTAGAAACCTAAAAATACTAACGAAATGAGCCAAACAACTCTTAACTCAATAACTCTTAGAGCATGGTAAGATTAATCCTTACAATTGCCTCATTGGTAGGAATTCTGAAATATGTCCAAGCAGACAAAAATCAAGCGTCAGGGACTGTAGAGATACCAAGAATCCTGAAATGAGACTTGGACTTCAGAGGGCTTACTCCTCACAATGTAGAAAAGACTTATCCACATAAAGAGAGTGACCAGTAAAGGCAGTATATGATTAGTGTCAGATGATGCAGCTCAGTGTGTAGAAACCCAACTGGTCTGAGGGCAAAGGGCTGTGGATGATATTGCTGACCAACGCTGCCCCTCTGTGTGACCTCCAGTGAATCACTGTGTCTCTCTGAGCCTCCCTCAGGTGTCAGGGCTTGAGGGCTGATGTCATGAGGTGGTTGTGTCCAGCCCAGTCTGTACTGTGCACATGTAAAATTCACCTGAGGTCTCCACTAGGCTCCTGGGAGCTGGATACTATCAGTGGTTTTCAGCAGCTGGGGCTAGGGTAGACCTCAAGGATTCAGTGTCTGGAAAGGAAGAGGAGGCAGCCAGGGGTGTTGAGAGGATCAGGACAGAGGGAAGGAAAGGGAAAGTCATTCTGTCAATTACTGTCGAAAGCCCAATGACCTTTAGCTTCAAACTTTTTCCCTTTGCCTTCCAAATAAAATATTTCCACAGGCCAGTGGCTGGGAAATTCTATCTTAACATCCCACAGACTCTGAAATTCCATCATTCTCTGAGTCGTGCAGTCAAGAAATATTAAAAGATTTTATAGGAGTTTAAAGGTTTCAAAAGAGAGAGATCTATTTAGTATCAGGTGGCCAGAGAAGGCTTCGTGGGATTTCTGCGGAGCTTTCCAACATGAGTTGCCCTCTGAACACCTGAAAGGAGAGGGGGGGCTCTGAGGAGGCCAGTGATCTGTGGGTGCTGGGGCCAG